GTGGCCTGCATATAGTATTGTGGACTCAAAAGGGCAATTTGATAATCTCGTTTTTGTCACGATTCGCAACAAAATCACATAAATACCAAAATTCTCATAGAAGAGACTTCTATAGCCACGCTATCAATCAGTACGGATGAAAAGCTTTTTCTTGTACTTTCACAAGCGTTTTTCTTATCTTAAGGCTATCTCTCGAAAATGCTTTTACAGGCTGCGCTATGTTGTCATTCTTGGTGCCGTCGAGGAGCTTGCCACCGTATATAAGGAGAGCAAGTTATGTGAGATCTGGATTCGTTCTCCGCGTGTGCAGTAGCTTGACTCCGTGGAAAAGCGCCATGGAAAAGCTCACCGGCGGCGCGGACGCGTTCGCGTGTTGGTGACGTCACAACGGCGGCGAGGGAGCGAGCATGGGCTAGCTTTGCCACTATTACTTCAATACATAAAGTACTCCGGGCATCTGTCGTGCCGTGGCACGCAGAAGTGTACTGGAAACGAAGGCGAAGAACTCTTCGTCTATCCAACCTATTGGCATCTTCTCCTGAAGGGTTTCCACATAGAAGCCTCAACTTTTTCTACCTTTTTAAAAAACCCCAATTCCTAAGATCTACCTGACCATAACACAAGCTTACATCCGCGGCATAAACGACTGATCGTGAGCAAATTGTTATAGTGCCTGAAACTACTTTCAATCTGCTGCAACTGCGACGTCATTCTGACGTCACCGGCACGCGCTCGCGTCCGCGCCGCCAGTGTGTTTTTCTCTCCTCTCAACAATCCTCTGCCTGTGGTCCGGTGCAACAACTGGTCCAACAGCGCCATCAGTAACCTACCAAAACCGTAGGTATTCTGGTCATAATGAAGTCAAAGGTTATCGTTGTAAAACAGCAGAACAGTCAGCAAATACAACCAGCGTATCCAAGAAAACGAGCAGGCGGCCACCCACAGTTGGTGCAGTTGGTGCATGGGCCGGGATATGAACGCAGCCCGCCCGCGTTGCATGCGAGCATTCTGCCGCTGAACCATCGACACGATAACAAACACATCTTCGTGTTCACACAGGATGAAATGCTTTTGAAAGATGATAATTACTAGATGTCACTTCGGAGTTATGAAGTTTCGTGGCAAACTCCGCCCACTTTGGTGCATGCTCCGCCCTGCCAACAGCGGTTGACCCCCTTCCCTCTGCCAACCCTTATACGCTTTTCCCGGACTCCGGGACTCCTAGGAACCGAGTTATGAGGCTGGTTGCAAACTCCGCCCACTTTGGTGTAAGCCACGCCCAGCCTTGACATTTAGCTTCTCCTCTTCTCCTAACCTGTATCCACTGTTTTCCGGTTTCTAAGTCATCTCAGAGCCGATTTATGAGCTCTTGTAGAAAACGTCGTCTACTTCAGGACACGCTCCGCCCATTGTGGGCGGACCTCCGTTCACATCATGTGTGCTGGAAATACCTTAGACATCGCTGCCCTGCACTAATTTCTTTTCTGCTCTGTAGGCTTCCTCCTAACCGAGTTATGAATATTTTCACTGAGCACCGCTTTTCTAGAGAACGCCCCGCCCACCGAGGGTGGGTCTCCTCAGTTCAATCTGGCTTACCAACGCACACCTATAACCACTTTTGTCCCAGTCTCGAGGCTGTTTTTGACTGTATTTGGAATCAACCGATGCACGCCACGCCCACTGTGGGCGGGGCTCCGCTTGGCTGATGTGTGTTTTTTACTTCTAGGGATATGGTATACCCATCCCAAACTTGACCTGGACCCTGTAGGTTGTTGTTCGCTTGATACCGAATTTCGTGACAGACGGACAGACAGACATAGCGCATTATATATAGTAGGGATTATTTTACAGGATAACGTTAAAATGATGGAAACTCAAAAAGGATCTAGAAACCTAAAAAATGGGACCACTTCCTTGATCGTTGGTTTTTGCATTGATGCGACTCGTATTGGTGCTAGCCTCTTCAACGCTAAGGCTCTCTCTGCTGAATAGCTCGAGGCTCAGACAGTGGGAGAGAGGCGTATCACGCCAATAGCGCGCCATCAGCGCTGCGAGGAACGCCATGCTAGGTCGTCGAACTCCCATGCGGATTGTTCCACACCCTTGGGATTCCTCCCCATTAGGTGAGTCCACCTCCTTCATCCTTCACACATATTGTGAAATACTTCTTTAAGCAACGCATATGTACCGCTTTTTACACACGTCTTCCCTGTGCGAAAATGCGGTACGCATGTGTCCCGCGCTGTCGTGTGTGGTAAGCACAGCACCTACTATGCACGTAATGAAGCGCTGTCTCAGTTCAACTGCCAGTCTTCTCCAAGGCGTAGAACGACGTGCTGCTGTGCTGTCCTGCCTGCGCAGAGACCAAGGTCTCTGAGGCGTAGGTTAGAGGCAGGAAGGACAGCGGAATCGAAGAGGTGGGCACGGAGCCGGATGTTCTTCGTCTTCTTCACTACTCCCTCGATGTTCTCACTCCCCCCCCCCCTGTTCACCTCTGGAGCCATTATGTTGTTCCCCAACCAAGATGCACAAACATAGCTGGAGCTTTCAGAGATGTTCATTCGTCTGCAGCTGAATCTACCTTAACGGTGGAATACTTACAGACATTCGTTCCCCTGTGTATGAATAGGGCATCAGAAACCACCATGCTCCTCGAAAACACCGTCTACGTAGGTTCAGCTGCAAATGAACTACTCTACAGGGCGCAGACGAAGTCAACAAGCACTTATGTTGAAGAGAAATCAATGGATTCAAATTATAATCAAATCAAATTAAAACGGGTTTTTTTGTATCTCCACCCTTTGAACAATATTGAAAAGGTTTGGACAATAGTTCTGAATTCCGGAGAAAAAACCCTTCTGTTAAAGGTGGTAATGAAAGAAACTGAGTGCGGTAAACAGAATAAGGTGCTATCGCAAGATACGGGGCATCATCTAGGATAAGCCTAGGAGGAGGCAGGAACTCAAGTTAGAATGAAAATTGCCCACATACCTTGACATCTCTCCTGCCCCGCCTAGGGCTTGGTCGATTTTGACAAAAAGAGATGTTTTACGCGGTTCTTTTAAATGCATTGTTGTCACAATGTCCCCGTTATCTTGTGATAGTGCCCAGAATAGTTCACCTACTTCTTACTTTTCAACCGCTAATCGTCCCAGCATGAAAGAAAGCCAGGTCGCACATCTGCTGAGCCGCTCCGCTTCGGGCTCTTCTACGTCACATCTGGCCTGTAACTTTACGATAGGGTCACCCCATCGGGTGTCTCAGGGCCCAGAGCCCGGAGGCAAACTCCCACCTAATGGACTCGGGCTGAATAGTTCAATTCAATCAACTTTATTTTGAACAAATTTATTTCAGGTTATTTTTTATCAGAAGATACGGGGCAGTATTGTGACGACGCATCCTAAAACAGCACAAAACATCTTATTTTTGTTAAAACCAAGACGTTCATCTCTTGGGGGGGGGGGAAGAGCAAAAGGGGTCGATGGTAATGAGACTTGGGATATTCCAGGCAAAGGGACAACTCAGAGAGGCAGAAGTGCTCAATGCTTATTTCGAATTGTCCCGCCTTGGGCTAGTCACAATAGCACAATAAATTTGTCAGTCACTGGGGAATTCCCCTCCAGAAGTGAGCACCAAAACAAATGTTAGCGTCGGGAGCAGGGTCAAGCGAGGCGTCGAGGAAAATTTGGAAATACGACCCCCCCTCCCTCCGCCAGAGGCCGAAGTCCATGAAACGACCCTCTTCAAAAGCCGAACTATGGAAAGGTTGTCTAATTCTCCCCCAAAACTGTTCATAAAAAAAGCCCTGCTATCAACCGAAAATTCTTTTAAAAAGTACAAAAGTGAAAAGTCAAAAAATTAATCATTATTGATGAGTCCTACCAAACGAGCAAACGAAAAAAGCAGCAGAAAACCTCAAACTACTCACTAAAAATGCATACTATGACAACATCTCTTCTTTATTTATTTCCTTCACAAGACTTACCAAAATTTAGTACTACACAGAGTACGGTTATCAATTTACACGTCCCCCTTCAGTTGAAAGAAGCTTTTTAACCGCCTTAGCCAGCTGTGTGCTGACTGATCTTTGGCGTTGACCGTGGAGCAGCTTATTTACTATTGAAATTTGAACAAATATTCAAATGATTATAACTTTCTTCAAATATGACGAATTTTCAATCTGAAAGCAGATTTGGGAGTTTTGTGAAGAGCTCTTTCTAATCAGTATTGAAATTACAAAAATTTATAAGAAATAACAAATTTAGATCAATTAACGAGGAAAATTCATGATGAGCACGAGTTTTTACACTTTCCGAAGCCATAACTTGCTTCATTTTCATCATTCCGAAAAGTTAATATGTCAGACAAAACTAGAAGATTTTCTCTATCAAATGGTTGCTAAAGCAGCTTTATATGTCCAGTATTTAAAAAATGGCCACGTTGAGGATTTTTGCAAAATTAACGAGGAAAATTTGTGATGAGTGCGAGTTTTTACGCTTTCCAAAGCCATAACTCCGTTCAAACTCATCCAATCAAAAGTAAATACGTCATCATAAACTAGAAGATTTGCTCTATTCAACGGTTACTAGGACTGCTAAAAACGTCCACAATTTAAAAAATGGCCACGTTGAGGATTTTGCCCGAGTACCGCCGAAAGTCACTTTTTCGCTGCATTAGCACTACTCCAACGACTATAGCTCCTTTCAAGGACAATTATACACTAAATTAGGAGCAATTATACACTAAAGTAGGTAGATTCGAAATCCTCTTTCTTTTCTCTTTCCAAGAAATGTAAAATTGTTTAGCGTGTCTTAACTTTAACGATTACATGCTTGTGAATTTGACGCTGAAGGCTGCATTTCTTGCTCAATAGTGTACTCCTCCATGTAATCTCACACAGACCCTTTCAGGATCCTCTTAATTTTTCTCTGAATTGAGAGTTTTTCTCTCAAGAGCCGTAGTTAAAGCGCGCGCAACTAACTGGGCCCACTCTGGTATGCGCCGTGTGCTTCACATCCCTTGAGATTCGAGGACTCACCTGAAATGATAAAATATCCGTTGGAAAACGTGCGAATTTTGTGATTTTTTGACTTGTTAGTGATAGTTTAAAGATAAAACTCTGAGGTAGTGAAAAATCACTACGCGCACACCTCTGAATCACGAAAATTTTATGTGGGCGGAACAGCATTGGTACTGGAAGTCCTCTGGCCTTCCATGGCATCGACTCGATCCCTGATGTTTGTCCTCCGACAGTGGTGCATCAATCCGGCCCGATCCCTTCCTCCCAGCGGGCCAATACGACCCCCCCCCTGCGACGTGTTGAGGATTCCTCAACGCACACTGCCAGGTTAGGAGAGATTTCGGGGTGTGTGGGGTGCGTGAGCCACTTTCGTGTCCCCAAATTCCTGCCTTTTCCTGGGCCTAGAGCTAGAGGATGCCCCCGTATTTTGCGATAGCGCCTACTTTCATTGAAGTGGTCTTGCAGAAAAAGGGCAGCCTAGCGCTGAAAATGGAGCGTGGGAAATCTTAGGAATAAAGGAGACCGTTCAGTCTTCGTTGGAATGGATAGCCGTCTACTACCAGACTGATGGCAGGTGAAGCCAGGCATGATGTAGAGAATAAAACCTCCCTTTTGTTTGGCGTCAGGTCAACGATTAAAGTGAACGGGCAATGGAATGGGTTCTTTTTTGTGTGGGCGATTCGCTTGATTATTAGGGAGCGGGGTGTCAATATTCATGAAAATCGATCACATTAACAATGGATTTAAAATCCATTGCTCCATTCTCGTCATCAGACTGTCTGCGTGTTTTTCGTGCCTTGTGGCTTTCATTATATAAACCGGGAAGTAAGAATTTTCGGATCAATTTCGGTAAATAGTTCCTCTAATTACACTTCGTACTTTACTTGTGATTTTCCTTCTTACACATTTCTTTTATCTTTTCATTTCTTTTTCATTTTCCATTTTTTCTTCTCTCACTCATCAACCCCGTACACCAGCTTTTTTCCACCTCCTTTCAGTCATGTTTTCT